TGTAGTCAGCTGCATGGAACTTAAGCATGAATGTGTTGTGCTCTCCTCACCCTCTTCCTAAAGGCATGATGGGAGCTTACGGCCCACCTTACATGCCCATGCAGGGTCCCCACGAGGGTTTGCTGAGTGTGGCCCCAATGCCACCTCACCCTGCAGGGGTGCCTAACCTGCCTCCTCACCATCTCCACCCAGGCATGCCGGGGTACCCGGGCATGCCACATCAGGGTAAGGGCCCTCTTGTCCTAGCCACACCTGCTCAGTCACATGTGGTCGTGCCTCTCCTGCTGGTGGGGTTTACCTGGTCTACAGGCTGCAAAGCCTAAGCAGACAAAGCTGAGAAGCTCCTTGCTCATAATCAATCAAAATGCACTGACTTAACATACCTAATGTACAACATCCACATTCATACAAATTGCATGTTAGAGGTGATTCCAGATAACTACCATTTAACAGATGTTGATAAACTAACAGTTTAAGGAGTTAAAGATCTTTACATAAACCCAGAAATACAAACTTACCCATAGATCTTCTAAAATCTAATGTGTGTTATGTTCTAAATTAGGTATGGTGGGAGCTGGTATGAACGGCATGGCTGGAAGTCCTGGGCAAAGCAATTTCATTCAACAAGTGAGTGAGAACAAAGTATTTCTGTTGAATAATTATATCTAATGTATTAGTAGTGTTGCACCGATACCAGTATTGGGCGGGGCTCCGATACTGCACTAAAATAGTGGTATCTGTATCAGTGGGTACAGACAAATAGGGCACCAATACCATTTTGAGAGCCAAAAGTTTATTCAACTATTGTCACCCATCCTGGTAGGCAATAAAAAGTTCTACTGAATTCTTTTTGTATTAGTCTTTTTCCTGCTTCATAAAGGTAAGCAGCAGATTGACAAAGCCATGATGGCAATTATTTTACATCCAAGTAGTATGCAGTTCTTCATATATGCACACAAACACATAAATTTCAAACAGATGGTATCATTATCAGCCAATACTGCACAGCCAGGTATCGGTATCTGGGCCAAAAAAATGGCATCGGCGCAACACTCTGTATTAGTAATGTCTTGATTAATAGTTTAACATCTTTAATGCATAAAAATCTGGCTACGTTTCCAAAATGATTGCTAATCAGATGCAATTAAATAGATTTTTTTTTTTGTGTGTAGCCATGTTGTAATAAACTGTTTTTCTTCTCTTTGAAGCCTGGGATGTTCAGTCCAGGACAGCATGCTCCTCCACCATATCCAGGACAGGGCCAGCCTTCTCATTTGCAGCCTACAACTCCAATGTTTGTAGCACCACCACCAAAAACACAGAGGGTGCTCCACTCAGAAGCCTACCTGAAGTACATTGAGGGATTAAATTCAGAATCGAACACTGTCAGCAAATGGGACCAAATGTTAAAAGGTGCTTTTTCCGTGCTTGTTTAGGTTTTAAAAAAAAGATTAGGTTGTACGATCCAATTACATTCTAGTCTTGTTAGCTGGAGCAACGGAACTAAAATATCTGTTTTCTTTTACATGTTTACGTGATTTTGCTAACAGTGCTTTGCTAAACCTTTCATAACCCTTGGTATTTGTAGGTGTATCCACAAAATGATAAATCAAGTGTAGAATAAAAACAAAAAGTAAGAAGAGTGAAACATGGTTTGCCCACATTTTAATATAAAATTTGTGAACTTTGTTCTGAGGCCCCTAGCGTAGGTTTTTTGTTGTACCCTTTATAAGTCAAATACTGAAAGAATATTAAATATATAGTGGAGGATTTCAACACATTTTTGAAAAGAACCGTCCTCTCCACTTAAAAATAAAAATGCACATGCACAACCCTGTAGGAACGCCTATTAAACGTGTGCAAGAGCATGCACAAGCCCATTTCTCCCCGCGGAGGCTCTGTTTAAAATGTGCTGTTTGCATCGCTCATACTTTCCAAAAGCGGGGGGGGGGGTTTGAGGGCGTAACGACAAAGTTGCGCGACGCTGGAGAAGGCACAACATGGATGATAGCAACAACTATTGAACAGTTCCCGTTTGACTCAGCTTTGAAATCAGTTTTGGAAGGATTAGAGGGAGAGAATGTTTGACAGAGAGGGAGTGTTTGCTGCCTGCCTGTGTGTGTGAGAGAGGGGGAGAGAGTGAGTGAGTGAGAAATATTCAACACCGTCGTGAAAAACTGTCCGAGTAATGGTCATCACTGTTCATGTCACAGTAAGAGTAGATGACATCATTTGCCCACGGGTTAACATCAAAGTAAGACTTCAAGGCTAACTAAAGCTACGGTGCACAACTGCCTTAGAAAATTAAGTAGATAGATTTGCCATCACAGGTTTTAATTATATACTAATTACATCAACTTTCCTCAGCTATATTCCGCAGAAGAGCGATAAACATCCTTGGCTTGTCTGTGTTGTGGCGGAGCTTCTTCCTGTCTCTCTGTGTTTTCGTGGGAGTAGGCTCCCAAGCTCTCTTTTCAGCAGCTGTTCGTTCTGCGGGGGGAACCTGCTTCGACCTCGTTTTCAATCCACCTCCAATAAATTGGCAGATCTCTTTCCAGTCTATTCAACAGGATTGTACAAGCTTGACAGACTTGATTGGATTTCCCCGGTCTAATCGAAACGTTCACTACAACTTTCTGTAATCTTTCTGCCACTGACAACAGTTGATTTGAACTTCGGAAAAGTTGTGTACATTAGTGTACGACACCGGCTACTCGCATGTCTTTTTTGCACAAGCGACAACAATAGTCCAAATCGATGATCTTAAGTTATCCACTGCTCACATCACATGCTGTTTGTTTACACCCCCCCACCAGCTTTCTGTCGCTCTTACTACGTCACAGTCAGTTGCACTCATTGGTTGTTGGCTAATTTTTCAGCATTGGCCAATTTTTTGGCACAGACATGGTTGGAAAAACAGCGGGTTGTTTTTATCAACAATCTTCCGATGTCTCATTCATCGGGGCCAGACTAAATTACACATTTAGTCTGGTTTATCAGGCTAATGGGTTCCAATTTATGATCAATGTTAATTTTACACTACAACACATCGACTGCAAGTTAGCCAGGAAGTTGGATTTTGGTCTCACTAGATGAAAGCACATTATTTGAAGTCTGAATTACCTTCAGCATGATTTTTTTTTTCTCATCTGTTTTTCTTGCTGCTTTCATAAAGACACAATTTGTTGTAAGATTCCATAGTAATGCTAATAGTTTAGCTGCAGATATTTGCAGCTCCTGCAGAGTTGGTCTTTTAGCCTCTTCTCAATGCCATCCCCAACCAGCCTGTGAGCTCAGTTGGACAGACATGTCCTAGGCCAGAGCACACCGAATCAGATTTTTCTCCCGATCCAACAGAAAATTGTGTAGGACGAGGTTTTTGCGTTTAGTACTCATTTAAAGTTAATGGCGATGATGCCCAACATGATCTTGGGACCTGTCTCTGACTGAGATAGACCCCAGGTCTATTTTAGTTGGACTATGCAGCAATTCAGCTGCAATTTCATGGGTCAGACAGGAAGAGAGATGTCGTTACAAAGGAAAACGTATCTGCTTTGGAGGAAAATGCAAATATAAAATCTGTTAATCACACAGGGAAAGAGTCAGTTCGGAATCGCACATCGTGTGTATAAAAATATAATACTTTACCCATGATAGGAATTCAGGACGGAATAAAGAGATAAAGTAATGATCCTCTTTGAGCCTTACAAAAATACCAAGGGGCAGAAAGTGCAGTATATCAATCTTTTAAAAAAAAAAATAATAATAATAACCTCATAGTAAAACAGTGATCCCCTTTCAGTGTCACAAAAAAAACAAAATAACGAGGGGCAGACAAAGCAGGTAAGCGCGGCATATTATCACTTCTGGAAATAAGAAAGAAAAACCCAGATAAACTCCATCACCTCTTGCTCTAGTCAGTATATGAACCACTGCATTTATTGCTGTGGGGGTTTTTTTCTCGTAAGACGTAGAGCTCATGTTTTTAATCTAGGCATATGAACATCCTATATCTGATCTGGTTTGAGATGCTTTCCAGACTGGATTTGCTTTATGAAATGTGCTGGTTTTTTTTGTTTTGGTTTTTTTTTGTTTTATGTGGGAATTTTTTTTATTTGTGTATAGCACAGAGACCGAAGTGAAAATAAATCTGTGCAGATCTGCCCACCCTGCCCAGTTGTAGCCTCCCTATATGCAGTCAGTGCAACATGGAAACACTGGATCAGAGATTAAAAAGCCATAAGCAACCTTGGTGTTTAGACCTTAAGTAGCTCTGCATTTGTGTCATATTTTTATTGATGAAGGGTCTGAATTGATCTGGGAGAGATGTTCAAAACTTTGCTTGTTGATGTTGGGCCTGCATATAAAACCTCAGTGAAATCTAAGACTATGGTGGTGACATGAATGTATAGAGCGTTTCAATAAAAGTATGCAAATAAATTGTTTAAGGAATTTTTCTTTTTTCTTTTACAGCTCAAAGACGCGATGCTCACCTGACCAAAGAGCAGGAAAGTCGGCTTCCTGCGCACTGGCTAAAGAGCAAAGGAGCTCACACGACCATGGTGGACGCACTGTGGCGTTTGCGTGACCTAATGCTGAGAGATTCTCTGAATATCTGTCAGGCATACAACCTATAACCTCCTATATAGAACCACTCACCTCAGTAGTGACTCTTATCCTCAACCTCTTCAACTGATAGACTGTAGAATCAATATTATCGTGAGTGATGACCACTTTTTTTATTTAGCAGACTAAATGAGCTAAATAGTGTTTGTGTGGGTTTTTTACCATTTGGAATAATAGTTACGCTAAACATGATTTTTTTGTTATTTTGTTTTTGCTTTTTGAGCTTCCTGTGCAACCAAAATAAAACTATAAACACGTCTGTTTTGTTTGTATTTTTCTAAAGTGTTTCTTAATCATTTTGGGGTTAATTTAAAGTTCTTCCTGTCTGATGTCGTCACATCCGGGAAGAATTAAGCCTGTGTGCCATTCTCTTTAGTGTTTGCCCTGTCCTCCTAATGTTATCCTCTTCACCGCCCGCATTTTTTATAATAAAATAGCTTACTCCCACTTTGGAAAGAGGAACCTAGAAAAGCAGGTGACTTTTAACTACTAGATCTTATGGACTAACTTAAAACTAAAGAACAGGAGCGAATAGGTGAGTTTCATTTCTGCTTATAGTTGTCGGCATTAGCAAGCTAGCTAATAGCTGTAGGTTGAGCTTTAAAGTCAGCAGTAAATTAAAACATTTATCAGACCCGAATTATCGAACATTTATACCTAAACGTCAGGTGTTATTCTTTATATGAATACTTCCTTTTGGAAATAATACAATTTCTTTCTAAATAGAATAATAAACACCGATTTCTCCATAGAAAGAAAGCTGCTTTGCTAAAATGTTTTGGTTTAGCTTATAGGAAACCGGCGGCCCGGTTTAAAATAAAAACCTAAACACGTTTTTAGTTGACAATGGTACGTTCTAAATCCGGGCGGGTTTATTATTCAAAATGTTGTTGGTATTTTATTTTTATTGCCCTTTACGTTGCTTTTTGGAATATGTTTAGATATTTGCATGCATCGGCTAACTGGCTAGCTTACCGGTTAATCTTCCAGGAACAGAATCATTTAAGGTGGCCTTTAATGGACAAGTCGGATAAATAAGAATAGAGATCGAGAGATTGAGGTGTATTGAGTATTATTAGATAAACACAATGAAACAAGCTTTAAGTCCTGGACGCTTCCCAAACACGTACCTGGGGAAATATTAGGATAGCCAGTTGATAAAGGGTGTCTTCATCCATAGCCGATGGGTAATTGATAAGGATGTTGGGGATAATGGAATAGATATATGCAGAGGCATAGCCAGAACATGTTTATAAGGGTGGCCAGGCAGTAACCATTGGCTCCAAAATCTCAGGGTAAATCTATATTACTCCAACAGGAAAATTAACGAGCAAAACATCCATATATTTTCTAGATAAAGACAAACTATTCTTTCCCACAGCCTTTGCTAACAGATAGACGAGTATATTCAAACACTCGTGCTTTCTAGATAGAAGGTATAGTGGATAAAATTATTTCAGGTCTGAGTTTTGGGCAAAAATCTTTTCCATTGTCATTCCTTACATACATTTATCAGTAATCTTTCTGCATAAAATTGATATTTACAATTACTAATATCTACTTAAATTGATTATTTAGTAAGTTTTTATTAGTAATTTAAAATAGTTACTTATCTAACTATCATAGATAATCATATGTATCTATGATTTCACTGAAGACTCCTAGATGACTTGCAGAGACACAATTTTCTCTTTACCCCATAAAACACAAAATCTATTTCTGCTTGAATTCTGTACTTATTATCTTTAATGTTAGTATGTTGATGTGCATAATTAACCACAGTGTTTTGTTGTCAAGTAATTGTTAATATGTGGAAAAATCAAAATGTTAATCTGCCACCGTCTGTATTAGAGGGAAAAAATGGTAGGCCCCCTATCTAGCTCCGCCCCTGGATATATGCAAACGAATAACTCCTTATTGTAAAATACTACAGTTGTTGGTAAAGAAAAACGCTTTAAGTAATTGCAGTAATAAATGACAAAACATATTTATGATAATATAAATAACCAATTTAATTGTCTGTACTTGCAGAACAAAGCAAATTCTGATTATTTATTAGGATATGGATTTTACTTATTAGTAATGATACAGCAATTTTCAGGAGTTTTTTACTGTGAGGCTGTCATCCATTAACCATTTACTGCAATGATACAGATCTTAAGTATATCTCCAATAGTAAGGATAGCATTGAGTCAGCTTTGTTAATCACTAAACTCAGTTAAGATTTGCAACATGAGTCCATACAGTTTCTACAGCCCTGTGTAAAATCGCTGTAAGAAGCTCAGTGAATCTAACCCTCTTACTGTGATAGGATCCCATCCACACCTTTAGACTTTTAAGTTTACAGACTAACACACTTTCAAAGGCCGACTTTCAGTGATGTAATTATAGTGACATGAAATAAAAAAGCTGATTGTAGATTTGTGGGTCATTCAAACCTTTTCGCCAGAAGTATCGCCTCAAGACCTGAATAAATCCTGACGAATACTCTGAAACTGCTAACTTGTTATGGTTGAGTCAATGGTAGGATTTTACGGATGGGAAAACTCCAGTGCTTTTGTTGAATTTGCTTTAACTGGAAATTGTTTTGCTATCTATAGATAGATAGATATAGATATATGTGCTCTCTAAACCCTTTTACAGGAATGTGTTTTTATCTCTTTATTACTCGCTGTCTTCCTGGTAGATCTTTTATTTACACCGCCTCGGACCACAATCTTTCACCCTCTGCAGTTTTCTCATCTTGAACATCAGAGCACAAAGGATGTCTCAGCTCCAATTTCAGTGTCCGCCCAGCGCCATTCCTGCTGCCTCTGCTCCGCTGCAGATGGGGCAGCCGCAGCCCAGTTACAGCATCCCGTGTGCTACAGGTGCCCTACCGTCGGAGAGTGCAAGCCAGCCCATCAGGAGCTCTGCTCTCCCCGCGGGCTCAGCCACCCCCTATAGTACCACCACAGGTTTGTTTGGATTCTCCGTTTAGCGTTTCATTCTTTTAATATTTTAATCTCCTTTAGCATGCTGGTGCATCTCATTGAAACAAATATAAATAAAAGTAAAGACAGATTTATTTATTTTTTATCATTTTCTTCACTGCAGCACATATTTTCTTTCTTTTTTGCTTGCTTTCTGTGCTGGCAAGTGCACTAAAGATGAAGCTGTCCACAATTTTGTAGCGCTATGCAAATAGGAGGTACATGTGTTTGATAACACTTTCTGCACTTGTTATGCTAATTAAAAGTCAGCATATTGGACAAATTTCAGCGTAATATTGACAACGCTCAGCACAACTGGCCATAGGCTGAAATGTGCTGACAGAAGCCTGGGCGAGGGTCTCCGGAGTCGGTCAAGCCTCGGATACGCTCACAAAAATGAGCCTATTGGTCTAACTTCAGCGTAGCTTTGCATTGAAATGCACTGGTGGGAATTTTCAGGCCTTACTTCAGCTAGTACTACTTTTGGACCTATTTAACACAATCTTACTATCGCAACTAGTTGTGCTTACCTTTTTTGTTTTTGCTGTATGACTGGAGTTTTTATAATCATTTAAAATCATCCACCTTAAGCAATATGAACTATTGAAATCTCTATATGCCTGTGGTTAGTGTCATTCTGTCTACTATAACATTGTGATAACATACATTTTTTAGCTAATAATGTTTTTTTATATTACATTTAAAATTCTTAAGAAACTAATTTTGTACTTTCTTATAAGCCATTGTTATCGAAGTTTTGGTGAGTTAAACACCTGAAATAACTATGAAATGAATAGATTTGTTATTATTCTTGAATTTATTTTCTGAAATAAATACCCTTTAAGGTGTTAAAGACATTCATGGGTGACTGTGAGTGACTTTTTTTGTTTTGTTTTGATTTAGTATCTAACATGGCAAACCCTAAAGAGAAGACCCCTATGTGTTTGGTGAATGAGTTAGCCCGTTTTAACAAGATCCAACCTGAGTACAAGCTTCTTTCTGAGCAAGGACCAGCTCACTCCAAGGTATAGATCGTTCAACATAATAAATGTCTGTGACCTCGTACATATTATTCTAATGAAGGTAATTCCTTTCAGATCTTCTCAGTGAGGCTCACTCTGGGAGATCAGCACTGGGAGGCAGAGGGAACCAGTATCAAGAAAGCCCAGCATTCAGCTGCTGCATCTGCCCTCTCTGAGACCACACTTCCCAAACCCACAGTTAGATCACCTCGAAACACAGGCAGGAACCCAGGTGGGCTGCTTCCACTTGATTTATCCTAATCTGAATAATAGATTTCATAGAGGTTAAGAAAATTAACTTTGGATTCTGACTGATTTTTCTTGCTTTTGCTTTATAGTAGATGGCAGTACACACAGTATGGAGTTGAATGCACTTTGTTTGAAGCTTGGTAAAAAACCTATGTTTAAACCCATCGACCCATACCCGTGTATGAGACCACCAAACTACAACTACAATGTTCGCGCTCCTGGACCTTACCAGCGCTCTATGCAACAGTATGTTTTAGTCATGTGGAAACAACATATTTTTGTTAAGTGTAAATGTTCAATTAGAGAAACTATTTTTGTATCCAGGTACTACTATCCATTTCCTCCAGTGGGACCAATAGTATACCACATGGAGCTCTCCATCGGGAGCCAGCAGTTTATTGGAAAGGGGCGAACGCGGCAGCAGGCCAAACATGACGCTGCTGTCAAAGCCTTGAAAGTGATGCAGAAGGAGCCAATACTGCAGCAGTTGCCGGTGGTGAGAAAAGTAGAGCAGGCTCAGCATGAACAGGCTTTTATCCAAAGTCAGAGACTCAAAACTTTTCTATTTTTAATGTTGTTTTTGACAGATGAATGGAGAGCCTGAGGAGGAGGAGAACTTGAACAAATCCGAAATAAGCCAAGTGTTTGAAATAGCTCTAAAAAGAAACCTACCTGTCAACTTTGAGGTTTGTTAAGGTTTTTTTTTTATTTTCAAAGATAGAAACTATGTAGGAATAGGATTGAAGATATTTTCTTTTTTTTTTTTTTCACGCAGATTTTAAAAGAAGAAGGGCCTCCACATATGAAGAATTTTGTAGTGCGTGTTACAGTTGGGGAGTTCTTTGGAGAGGGGGAGGGCAAAAGCAAAAAGATTGCAAAGAAGCTGGCAGCTGCCGCCGTGCTAATAGAGTTAAAGAGGCTCCCCCTCATACCCGGTGTGGAGAAGAAGCTGCCACGCATCAAAAAGAAAACAAAATCTATCATTAAGGTGTGGCAACTTTTAACCGGAATTGG